AGCCCAGGAGTTGGAGGTTGCTGTGAGCTGTAATACCACGGCACTCTACCCAGGGGGACAGCTTGAGGCTCTGTCTCAAAAAAAAAAAAAAAAAAATTACTTAGCTAGGCAGAAATAGGTAAGACAAATAAACACCAGTCAGCCCAGTAAACAGCAGGTGTAGGGCTACCTATTCCCCACATCAAGATAAAGTAACCCAGAAAAATGGTCATGTCTGCACAGCCTGCTACACATTGTGACACTTTTTGTAACTTTGTCCCTGTAACTTTTTCTTTACACTTCTTTGTTTGAATCTCAGTAAATACCCATTAGAACTTGAAGTCAGGGCCACACAGCCACACTCTGACAGTGTCTGAGAGACCCTCAGTTGTACGGTGATATTACACCACACATTTGGTGTTCTCTCTCTGCAGTGTTCCCCGAAACCTAGAGGTCCCAACCTACTGGGGATCGCTTCAGCCCAGGGTCATCATGCCGAATCTATGTGTGGGGAAACTTAAGAGCACCCAGCCAATGACAGCCAGCCAGAAAAATGTGAACTGAAGACAAATCTGGTTGGAAACCTCATGACTTGACTGTGTCTTGTAAGGGTGCAGCACATCAGGTTGCTCTGACAGTTGTCTGGAGTGACATCCCAGGGTCCCTTTCCTTGGCCTTCATCTGATCAATAGCTTTCTGGGTGACTTGGATGAAAGTGGAGGGGTCCAGTGCTCACTTGTGGATGCATAAGCACAAGTTGGGAAGAGCAGAAAGAGCAGAGTCCTTGAGATGACTCTTAAAAATGGTGTCTAGAGGGCGGTGCCTGTGGCTTAGTGGGTAAGGCAGCGGCCCCGTGTACCGAGGGTGGCGGGTTTGAACCCAGCCCCAACCAAACTGCAACAAAAAAATAGCCGGGCGTTGTGGTGGGTGCCTGTAGTCCCTCAGCCTACTTGGGAGGCTGAAGCAAGAGAATCGCCTCAGTCCAAGAGCTGGAGGTTGCTGTGAGCTGTGACGCCACAGCATACTACTGAGGGTGACAAAGTGAGACTCTGTCTCTAAAAATAAATAAATAAATAAATAGTGTCTAGAGCCACCATCTTTCAGTAATTCACCAAAATGACAAACACAAAGGGAAAGAGGAGAGGCACCCAATATATATTCTCTAGGCCTTTTAGAAAACATGGAGTTGCTCCTTTGGCCACATACATATGGACCTACAAGAAAGGTGATATTGTAGATATCAAGGGAAGGGTGCTGTTCAAAAACATAAAT